TTCAAACTTGGAGTTCAAGTTTAAATGATTATGTACATTTATATATTAATAAATTTAAAAGAAAGAAAGTAAACAACACTAGCTTGCAACCAAAATTAAAGCTCTTTGTGTATCTTGTTTGGGCTCATTGGTAGATTGACTTTTACTTGCAGCCCTTTGGATGGTGTGGAGGAGACAATGCCTTATTTCGATGTTCCTCTTCGGCAGCCGAGCGCACCTAGAAGGCGACCTGTGTCTGTTATGGCACTTAATGGAGAACTGGTATGTGTTAACAGGACATCAATCAAACTGACTTGTTACTTTTAAAATGTTTTTAGAATTGTGTTCCAGTATCACTTCTTTTGAATAAAGTTTAAATTGGAGGAAATGGTAAACCAAAATCCACTTATCTATTGATCTATTTAATTATTACAGACACAGAGTGACTTCCTTGGGCCTGAGAGAAGATATTCTAACCCTGTCAGTCTGACACAAACAAAAGACGATAATTTCATCCTCAGAACTTCAGCTCCTCCTACTGCACACACCTCACCCAATCACTATGGAAACCATTTATCCAGCCAATCAAATGTCCTGTACTTGCCTGGTGCTTCCCCACAATTCATGAATACCCATTCTCCTCCAGTGACTTCAAAACTTGTTGCCCCACGGCAACAGATTCCTCAGAGATATACTGTGTCGCAACCAAACTTAAACTCGGGGTTGGGAACCTCCCCCACCCCCAGCAGAATTCCACAGTTTCTGTCTAGTGGCTCTCATGATACTTATGGAAATATGCACTTTAATGTGGCTATGGGACATGGAATTACATTGACTAAGGATGAGCCCATACATATTGAGGATGCTCTGAATAGTTTGAGTGCAAGTCTGGAGGATTACCATGGGCAATATAGAGAGCTGGAGAAGTTAGAAGATGTGGTGGTCATGTTGGAACAAGTTCTTCGAGTAAGTATGATATTAAGAATAAAAAAAATCTATGATTTCATTCCAGTCCTTGATTTTTATTCAGAGAGTGTACATGTGAAATGAATAAATTGAAGGTCTTTTGGCAATTTTTCAAGTAAAAGATATAAAATCATGTTTTTAAGTAAGACTAAAATATCTGAAGTTGCATCATTTACATATGCTATCATTTTTACATCGCAAAGTCTTGGCAGGACCCATGATGTTTCTATTTTCTGATTACAGAAAGAGTCTAGGTGCAGTTCTCGGACAGGCAGTATATGTGTGTCTGTACAAGATGCCCTCGGTGCTTTCGATTTTCTGGATACTGAGGTGACAGAGGAAGGGGAGACAAGTCAGTAAGTAGTTATTCCAAAATTACTTTCACTTTCCTTGTATTTTACATATTTTAGAGGGATTCATATTTAGTACATTGCATGCTGTGAGTGGTCTGGCAATTCTTGATTATCACCAAAATATAATTTCCCATTTGTGTGATGAATGTGCATACTGAATGCGCTAATATTAATGTGATGCTTAGAAAACTCCTGTCTTCATTTACATGACAGGAAATAAATTCTGTTTTAGGGAATCTACAATTTTTGACAATGTGATGTCTAGTCCTGAGTCTACAGCTAAGACTGCAGATTCCGGCATTGAGTCACTGGCCAAGCGGTTGTCGGAGGACACTAACCTGGGTTCCAGTGAAGGTTCAAGTCCTCTTCCACCCAGCACTGGAAATGAACATGTGGATCAAGCCCTTGTGTTTCATCTGGTTTATTGTGAAAGACTGCTGGAGGTACAAACCAAGTTGATCTATTGGACAATAAAATACTGTATATGCTATATTTTAATATAAAATGCTCAAAAGATGTTGGACAGAATTTGTTTTTAACAATCCATGGCAAATATTTAATAGAACTACAAAATTGCATTTAAAGGGGAATAACTCTTTCTGTAACAGTGATAAAATTTTCTCTAGTTTTGAATTTAAAAAGTCTTTGTTTATAATGTTGTAGAGTTTAGGAAGTTTTGGACCCCTAAAATGCAGGGAGATTTATGCTCTGGACAGACTACAGAAGCAAGCTGAGATTATAGAACATTTAATAAAGATCTCACAGTCATCTGATATTAATCTTCATGCAAGTAAGTGAAGATTCCACATATTACCTGTGAATTATACTGCATTGTTTTTAAATTAAGAAAAGAATGAGATCATTTAATTTTGATTTTTATTAATTTGACAGTTATGGCAGAGCTCAGTGATGATAAAAGTTTACGTGAATTCTGGGTGAGGTGTACAGACACAAATGTTCTCTATATTCACCCAGAGAAACTTGTAGGTGCCTTCGAACAAAAGTATGGAGCACAACTTCAGAGTAAATACAGCAGGGATCCTAAGAAAGGTTTGTATAAATTATTAAAAATCCAGATTTCTTAGACATCCTGATTATTTCTTATATTGACTCTAATAAATGGACCAATTATTTTCTTGTGATAGCATTTTTGAAGTGTACCTTTATTTTTCATTGCTAGTGTTGAGACATTTGGTGATGAGAATCTTAGATGTTCCCAGCTATGACCCAGAGAAGGTCAAGGCCACATGCATAGTCACGCTTCACCAGTTTCTGCAGTATTTCAAAGATGAGGGAGGCTTACAAAATGTAGATGCTGTTGCTGCAGAATGTAAGAATCCTTCACAATTTTTATGAAAATTCATACATGCTTGATCAAATTCCTTTTTTTTCTGGATAAAAACATGGAGAATATGTATGCCATGTGTGTTTTAATGAAAACCTTTATTTATTTTAGTACAAATGATTGAAAAACTCTGCTCTGGTAAAACAGAGAGTATAATTAAGTGTGTGATGTCCCTCAAAGGAAGCTTTCCCCCTGCACCATGCCTCAAAGTAATGGGGGCTCTGTTGATCAGTGGCAGTAATGAGGTGGCCAGGACAGTAGGTAAGAAATGCATAATGTTGAACTATGGCATCTTGATCACTGTTGTGTCAAATACTTGGATATGCCAAAGTCGCTTGGCAGTGCCTCTCTACAAAATACTTAGGTTTCATCTTTGATATTGAACCTTCTGATATCTCGAATATATTATAGCCCTACAAATTTTGAGATATTTGGATTTGCGTGTATATAGTTGATCTTCAGTGTCTCAAACGACTAGATCTTGATTATACAGGATTATGGTTGAAGTTAGCTAGTGGTCCACATTGTATTGAAAATTTGAATCTTGTAATTAAAATTTCAAACCTTTAAAGGGTCCGTAAGGTTTCTATCAGTCCTGCCAATTTAAATATATAGAGGTTTGACTGGTATTGATAATGGAAAAGACTATGTTCTAATTGGAGTAACCTGCTTCAAAGGAAATTCTGGAATTACACTTCAAAGGGAAATAATCGGAAGATCTCTAAATTTGTGTAAATGTGTTACTGGTAGTAATATTGCAAAATAATACAATATTGTACACCAGCTAGTACATGGAATATGAATATTTCTATTAAGAAAATGATGATGTCCATATCTGTGATGTGTGTAATCTTACTATTACCAAGTGGTTAATGAATTCTCTCTCTGTGGTCATTGATGTGCCCAGACTTGGTCGTAGGCGTATATATTGACTGACTAATGTCATTCGGAAGTAATCAGTGTCACACTTTATTGATTTGCAGAGTCCTACTTAGAAGACATCGCAAAAACAAAGGAGTTCAGAGACAAGGTAACTAGACCTGATGTGTCATGACCAATAATGCTTTTTTATGATTCTTAATTTCTTATCGAATAAGAAAGTTTACTGCTCATTGAAAGATTGCGTGTAAATCCTTTTAATGTTTGAAATGATGTCATGTTTCTAGATATTGGTCCCTCTGTTTTGTAGGCATTACTGGTATTTGTGGAGGGCTTGGAGGACAAGACACCAGAGATCAGGGCTGGAGCCTGTGAAGCTCTGGGCAAACTAGAGGTAGGTCATACTGTAGATTCCTAATTAATCATGAGGAATTTATTTCTGCAGAATTTTGTGAGAAGCAACAGTTGCAAAAATTGAATTACCCACTTTTATTATTATATTGCTGAGTAGCATGTAAATACTCGGGATCAAACATCTTATCGCTGAATTTGTTCTCACGATTTGACATGGGCGAGTCATTTTGCTAAATTAAGTTCTCGCATAAAATAATCTACAGTATACAATATCAGTCCAAAATACTTTCAGAATATTGTTTTGTTATCACAGTTACTGTGAATCACTTTTTATTTGAGAGAACTTTATTTATGCGTTGATACCAAATCAGGAGAGAAATTTTCATTTGTATATATATTTGTACTATTTAAGATTATTTCTGGATTATAAATACCAAATAACTCTCTTGCAAAAATATGGCGTCACAAAAATTCGCTGATCTACAGTATGGATATCATGTTTGGAAATAGGAGAATAATTTTAATACATTTGTATATAACATCTTTTTGTGCTTCTTTATGTTAAATTGCACTGCTATCTGACATTGGACTAATTTTGTTGTACATTTCAATGTTGTAGGCATCAGAGAGTATAGCACAGCTTTCCTATCTCTGTCAGACGGACACCTCTACGGTGGTCAGGGTCAGGTCCAAACAAGCCCTCTTCTCTTTTGGTAAGCACTGACCTCATTTATCACAGAATGGTCATGGACACAAACTTGTACGGTCTTTTGCAAAAGAATTTCTGTCATAGATCAAGTGAGGTGTAAGAACCTCACCTGATGTTTTATTGCTTAATATATATGCTTGTAGAAGGAGAATTTATGAGAGTGCCTTTATACCTGGTACTTTGTTTTATAGGTGAAGTTGGTCGACATGCATTCGAAGAGATTCAACTGTCTACCCATGGCTTCCAAGGATTGCAGGTCAGAAAGTAGGTCAACTGAGGACACAAAAGTCAAGCTCCCCTCCCCCCCTGCCCAAAGCCATGGGGCTCTCTTAAGACAAAATGATTGTTGAGTCTGGACAAGGATAAAATCATCCCCGGATCCAGTTCATAAGAAAGAGGAGGAAAACAGAAAGGCATCTATTACAGAGGATTATTTATTAGTGTCATGAGAATACAAAATTGGATCCATTTTGCCACAAAAAAATGGAACAGACTAGTTGGCTTGGCACAAAAATCATTGACAACCATTCCAAATACATGTGTACTGTATTAGACGATATGTAAATGTGGAAGTGCTTGCTTATTATATTTATACTTTGTACAGTACTCTACAAAAGTTTGTGCCTTGGTTTGTTAATTTGTACAAATCAAACCCTAAAGCATTTCTAAGTTGTTTGCAGTTTATGATACCAAGCACTAGTTTGAAAGTCATGCAACAATTAAAAAATTTAATATAAATATTTTTTTGGAAGCAGCATTATTTATCATAGATTGATATTAAAGTGATTGTGTTTTTGTGCCAAAATTTGCCACATATTTTACATATGTAATGCTTGCAAACTTAAACATTTAACTAGAAAATGCTTTTCATTACAGTGTAGATTTTTTATACAATTATGTTATGTAGATTTGATTAAAAAGAATACTTGCATTCATAATAGTTCATTAATTCATGTTAAGGTACTACGCACGGAACTGCTTTTATTCTCAACCAAAGATTATGACTTTGCTGTAAAATGATATTATTGTCTTTGTGCAATATTCTGAATGCAATTTGAACTGTTCATTTTTTTTTTTAAATTTTTGAATCTGCATGTTTGTTGAACAAGAGTATATTTAACAGGACATCTTCATTGATTTTCTCTTATGCATTCACTACTAAGTACAACCCAGTATGGGTTTTTCTTACTGAGCAGTTATACAAGTATTTTTTCCTGTTATGCTGTATGACTGTGTGTTCTTTGTAAAGGTCATAATGCTTTCATTGATTTATAATATATGTTATAATAATTGTTTATGTTTATCATACCTAGTCAAAATTATACAATGTATACAACATTAAAATGTTTAAAAGATGAAAAAAAAGTTTCTTTCAATCCATGCTGCAGATAGATTGGTATCTTTCGCAAATTGATTGCCCTCATTTGTTGTGAATGAATACCATAGTTCAAATGGTTGACAGATCGATAAGTTAGTTTTTCCTGGCGACAGATGGCGGCTCTTCTGTATGGGAAGCCATATAATCTGGAAGTATGGCTCCGTAATGTCTGATGAGATCGTGAATGGGAAAACCTCAGTCAAAGAAATCCGATCCAAATCCCAGTGGTGTGTCGTAAGGGAGGCCTATAAAGAAGAAATGATTGCAGTGTCATAAAGTACTTCAAATGTTTGATGTCAGTAATATAGTCTCTTCTAATACTTATTATAAGATTATTCTGCCTGATCCAAAAGATAAATCTTAGAGACCAACCATTGAAGATTTCCAGGAATATACCCTTACCCCTGTCCAATACAATGCTGCGGAGAATTGACAAAGCTTTTCTCAATCGTTTTAATCCGTTCCACTTTTGTTGAGTGTGTTAATTATTGTTTTATGCCCCCCCCCCCCTTCTATAGTTCCAGAGGACATCAACAGAGGTGTCTGATCAAATGTGAAATCAGATTCCGTAATTAACAGTTTTTAACTGATTCCATAATTGTCAGTTGTAACCGTGATTTCATAATTGTTGAAATCCATACGTTACATGCCACACGTTTGACAGTTAAATATGTACAGGTGAAGATACATTATATCTCTAAGTTAACGTACCCTTTAAAGTATCTTCTGGTGGTAAAGTGAAAGGGTAATCTGCAAGATAAAAAAAATTATGAATTAATATACCAACAATTAAAGCTAATTACGTGGATTAAGTACATGTATGCAAATGTAGAAAAGATTTGACATTGCACCGATGTTAGTCAGTGCACAGTGTGCACTTTAAAGGGATCCCGGAAGCATATTATAAACTATTATAATCGAGATTTTTTTCACTGTCACATTCTCTTTTTTCCTATATACCTTGGGCACACTCGTAATACACTCCGAGATGAAGAAGATGGAGGCCCACGGCGTTTACAAGCGGTTTTACAGCATCATCTTCGCAGCCAGGGTCTTTCTGCAATATCTGATTCATACAAGTTTGATAGCTCGATATGGCCCTGAAAATATTATTAAGAGTACTGTTGTAAAAAAGTCAATGACACGGAAGAGAAAAATTACGAATCTCAAACGGAGTTGTTAAAGTTCACCAATCCCCAGGTTATTCATATGTACAATGATAAAGACTTTGCAAAAGAAATTTATTTCAAAAATTTCAGCATACCTTGCGGTGCAAAATTTGTAGAAATCGCCTTTTTAAACTAGACAATATTAAGGGAATTTAGAAATAAATCCCAGTGAGAGTTATCCCTCTTATTAGAGGATCAATGAACCTTAATTTCTTACTCGCAGTTTCTCTCGTTGTCCCTTCTTCTTCTACTGTAAGGACCTATACTGTGGGTTATGCCTTGACATAATGTCAGTCTTTTTTTGTCAATGCACGCTAACGAATTCGTAAAATCTGGAAAGACATTAAAATCACCTTAACGATCGTTGCATCTAGCTGTTAGCAGAAAACAGAGAAACTTTAGTTAAATCTTTGCCTTATTTACTTTAACATTAAAGCTAGCTTTTAATTAGATCGAGTGTCAAGCTTTCAATTTGACGTGGTTTAGTCACCTTTGGTGTTTTCGCAGGCCTGATTAACTGGACCGATGAGATGGTGCCAGAACAGAAGAACAGATGGACACTTATCCACTGGCACGGTAGTAACACACTGCTCAGCCGAGTCTATTGCATCAGTTCTTAATAAATTAAAGTAACAATAAATAATTTTAAAGATATTAAATTACTGTAATAATTTACATTTAGAGATCTAAACTTGAGTTACAACATTAATGAAAGCACGCCGAATTTAACGCTAACGTAAAGGGGGGGGGGGTTGGAAAGGGGGGATAATTTGACGTCTGGCATCAACGAATAGCGATTCCTATGAACGTATGACAGAGATAGTTGACGACCAAAACCCTCTTAAAACAAACAAACAAACAGATACATACTCCTCAATATAAGGAGAGATTCTTCTCATATTTATTGTATTTAAAAATTATTGAAAATTTCACAGATTTAAGATGACGATATCATTAAGTGCTGGTATCAATGGGATTAAATTTGACCATTTTGTTTTAGGTGCAAGGTCAGGTCAAGGTCATCATCTTTTTCCTTGACATCAAGAATAAGAAATTACTTTTGCCAATCATTTGATGCCTTCATTTATTTTAAAAGATTAAATGTTTTTCTTTTTGCATAGAAAGATTTCACCATATAAGGTCTATCAGATGATACTACCAAATTAAGATAAAAAATACAACTAAAATAGATATTGGTTAATCCGAATTTCCTCCATTTTAATTAAATTTTTAGGGAATAGTAGTTATTTTGATATTCTCCATATATTTAAATTTTTCTTATTTTCACATATGATAAAGTAGTCATATCAAGTTACAAAGTTATACAAAAGAAAAACAAAAAGTTTTGACCGCTTAGTATGAGAGTAAAAACACTTTTTACTGATTTTATGCTCAAATCTTTTCTTAGATCGGAAGCTTTCAAAAGCTAATAAGACTGTAATTTGTTTAGAAATTGAATTTATTTTATATATTTTAAAACATTAGTCCATAGTAATTAAATTTAGTCACTTCAGAAAATTTCATTCAGTCTTTAATTGTTTTAAAAAATTAACCAAAATCAATGTTTTGTAGTAATTTTAAGATGCAGAATAGGAGATATTTTTATGCGCCGCTATTCTGCCAAAAATATAGTCCCTGCTAGATATCAAACTATGCCTATCATTTGTACTCAAAGTTGTACAATTTAGAGAAGGAAAGAAAAATATAATCTTTTAAGTCCTTTACATCTAAATATATACGACATATGAGCAAATACACTTTGAATATTTCATTTAGTCAGAAACCAGACAAGAATCCCTCGAGTCATTTATTTTACATTAAAGAATACTCACCGACAGACGTGGGTTAAGTTTGCATCAAACAATGTCTTCTGTAGGTCAACGACGTTGGTATCGGTTTGGATGTTCCAGTGGGACAGACATTCTTTTAAGCCCCGGTCCTCGCGTTTGCGATTTGTGTGTCTACATCCATGCAAAGTTGCAGGCCACGTCAACAAAATCACCCCTAAGAGAAACAGTTTTAACCAAACTTGGCTGTTTACTTTTTTTCTAAAATCATATGATAAGAAATAACTAAAAACAAACAAAATTTAAACTTAATATTTTCTACTTAAAATTTCCTTAGGCTTAAGCAGTGAAGATTTATTAAATACTATTTCATTAAAGTACAGTATGCAACAAAGTAGTTGAAATAAATGGATCAGGGTAGATCGACCAATATTTGGTGGTGGTGGGGGGGGGGGGGGTAAAAGATCTTTAAAAATACTCCTCTTCCCCCCAAAAAGATAAAAAAAAACATATGAAAACCAAAAATTAAAAAAAAATAATAATCCAAAACAATTAAATCAAAGCCAACCACACTCAAAATCACGTTTTGATATATTCAGAAGCACACTAAACAACATAATAAATATATTTTTTCTGTATAAAGAAAAAAATAGACTTACCCAAACATAATGCAAGGTTAACTTGAGAGAGAATCATTTTGTAAACCTTCTCTGTTTCTCTACTTTGGTTAACTGACAAGATAACTACACCCCGGTGACCTGTGCACGTAAACAAGCAAGTATTGTTACTTTTCACATCCGTAACGGATGCAATACAATGGTAGCTTTCTTTGGTCAACAGGAAGTTGGATCCTGAACCAATAACAGACACTTCCAACCACTTAAATCTTCTGCTCCATAGAGATTTTGTCAAATAGGGGCTTGTTTTAAATATTACATAATCAGTTCTTATTTTTCATTTATTAACAAAGGCTTCATAAAAAAAGGGGGGTTGGGAAGTGGAACCTACAACACCAGTGATGGCCTTGAACGTATTCCTCATAAGCGAGACATTTATAAATATAAACTGATTGTATGTGAATATATTTGAATTAATATATGAGTGAAGAATATATAAGGGAATTTGATGTCCGGGAGTCAAATTAAGATTGTCCTTAGACCAAAGTGCTGATTTCCGGTACATCCTTCTGTATTTTATGTACACAGTAAGGTTTGTGATAAATTTAAATGGTGTTTCTGTGTTAGAGATGAACTGTTTTTGTATTATGCCCATCTTTGAAAATGAACAATGCCCATGCGCCACAATGGTTACTATCCCCTTTTCTGATCTATAAATGTGTGCATGTAGATGAATGAACCAATTAATAATTTTATCAAATTTAATTTATACCTTATATTTAGGCTTTATGTCAACTTTACAAATCGTGATATTCTTGGTATATAGCAAATGCAAAATTGAATTCTTGTACATGTATATGAAACTTTGACCCCTAATTGTGACTGACCAAAACCTAGTCCCAGAGCTCATTTTTTCCCCTAACAAACTTAAATTATCTATATCACATGTGGATGTTTTATATCGTGTCCCTTCTACATTAAGAACATGACTTTTAAAGAGTTTCATACAAATTACCTTTAAGGAAGCTCTAAACACTAATAAAAAATGTTTTTTGGCCATTGAAAAAATGTATAATATAAAGGTGGACATACTGAGTTTTGAGTCTACTTAGTTTATTTTCAACATAGGGTACTTGCCATATTTCTAAGAAAAATGTTCCAAGACATGTAGTGGAGTATTAGTAATCAGAATATAATGATTAGAATACTTGAATCTGTTTCGAATTGTGTCCTTTACTGAGGATTTTCCATTTATCACATTTTACATCAAAGGGTAGATCACTAACTTCTTAAAACTATACCATGGAATTAAAACTCTTTAATTAGTGTGCAGTGTAAACCTTAACATCTATTATGATGTCGTGTTGTAAATTTTGAGATTACCGGGTGGCAGTAATATATAAAAAAAATTACAACATGACAACTACATGTAGTTGTAATCGCAAAAGCTAGGAGACCTCAAATCTCATTCGTCTGTCTGTCTCGTCTGTCACATTAACCTTAACCTTGGTCATAACTTTTGAATGAGAAGAGATTGGGCTTTCATATTTCACATGTACATTACCTGTGACAAGACATCTCCAGATATACTATGATTTTTGACCTACTTTTCAAAAAATTTAACATTACTTTAAATTGGTCTTAGCTTTTGAATGAGAAAAGAAAGGGCTTTTATATTAAAACGTATATTACCTGTGACAAAACCTTTCCATATATATCTATGATTTTTTTTACCCCGTGACCTTGACCTTGAATTTTGACCTTTTCAAAAATTTTATCTTTGCTTATGAGGTTTTGATTGATTGATAAAAAAGACAGAGCTTTAATATTTGACATGTGCATTACCTGTGACAAGACCTTTCTAAATACATGTATACTATGATTTTTGACCTTGAAGTTGTATCTACTTTTTAAAAAAAAAAATAAAAAAAATAGTATTACTTTAAATTGGTCATAACTTTTGAATGAGAAAACATAGGTCTTTCATATTACATATGTACATTATCTAAAAAAAAAAAAGTAACATTGCAGATAACTTTTGATTGAGAGAAGATATGGAATTTACATTTGACAAGTGCATTATCTGTTTCAAGACCTTTCCGATTGTATACTCTGGTCTTTGATTTTTTTTTCACATGGACATTACTTGTGACAAGACCTTTTGGATTGTAGTATGACAGTATTTACTGTCACCCGGTAAATTTAAAATTTACAACATGACAGTTACCCCATGCATCCGTGACCTAATGGCCATTATTTAAACAAACAACATAGGAGTACGTACTATAATTGTTCTCTAGAAGAAGCTTTTAATTTACGTTTCCATATATATTCCCATGTAAAATTGCGGACCCATATTTACACAGGGGTCATGACTTGACATCTCAGGTTAGTTAAAAGCTAAATACATAGAATCTTCTCCTCCATGTACTAAGGCGACGAGTGCATACCTAAATTAAGCGTACACAGTTTATGCTTTGAAGAGTATATTTCCATGTAATTGAATTCAGTATGAAGAGCGAAAAAAATAGATTTCTGTTTGACAGAGTAACGAAAAACAGATACATCACATAATCTAGCAGTCATCTGATCTTAAAGCATAAGGCATATCTCATTTTACTGTACATATTGTGGTTGGCACTTCACAGTACCCATCAATTAAAACCATTTATTTATATGAATAATTCTGACATTATTAAATTGAATATTTCTGACATTCTCCAATGTACATCATAAACCCTAGACACATCGGCCGCTAACACGGCGGAGTTAAAGAATCTCACTGAAAATTGATAACTGCAAACACACTTCTAAGTACATGTATGCCACAACAACAAATAGAAACCTTGTACTTAATCCAAATACACTTATATCCACTTAATACTTTCTCTTGTATGTATTAAGAAAACCAGATTAATATTATCCCAGTTAGATCCAGTGTTTGACTGTTTCATGGTTCTTCCATCGATGCAACGTAGGGCCGATGCGTTAATACTTGACGTATTTTTGCGTACTTTATATGAATCTTTCAAAGACAGATTAAAGAAAAACAATAACATGTCCATTTTTGTTGTGATATAAGGGTAATAAAAGGATGCAAAGGTTGCAGAAAAAATTATATATTATATATATATATGAACCATCTTACGCGGATTATTTATTTTTTCTGCAATCGTTATCACCCTTATCATACAACAAAGATAGAATTTCATTGTTGAAATTAACAATTCAAATTTGTATATTAAACTCCTATGTTTACACTATCCAAAGAGCCTAAGAGCACCTGAACTTGTATATCAAAGCACTTATGTTGCAAACAATATACAATATGATTTAACCAAACAAATGCTTTAGCGGAAAAAAAAAAAGAAAACAGAACAAAAAAAACAATCTTTTTGGGTTTTCAAATCCATAAGAAAATCTGTATTAATACGATTATGGCTGATAATTTGAGTACGGTTCTGTTTAGAGTTGTCATTAAAATAGGTACTTCATAAATCATAAATTCCTTAAGACACTGACACAGAGCTGCGAATAACGATATCACTTGCAGACACACACACAAACAGTTCAGCATTAGTCCCGTGTAATAAGAATCGTCCTGATGACCGTACTTCCGGATGTTTGTTACATTTGTCACCAAGGTAACGAATAAAGTAAAGCATAAAAGTCCCTGTGAAGTCCTGTGAAGTCGACTTTGACTTGGATCTTCCTTTTCTTTCATCTGTCATCAGAATAAAACGATAGCATTGCTTAATTCAATGGTACATTATAAGAAAGTATCCTGCCCAAAGCAAAATTTTAAAATAAATAACTTCGAGGAAAACATATTTATAATAAAATGGAGAATTTCTATGACATATCAAACTTTTCAATATTCGATCTTTTCCATTTGTATTGTATAATATTTCATTTCTATTGTATAATAATTTTCCTTTTTATTGTATAATTTTCCATTTATATTGTATGATTTTCCTTTTGTGTTGTACAATTTTCTATTTGTATTGTATAATTTAACTGAATTCTATATTTTCCCATTTGTATTGTATTTTTGCTATCTGGAAACTTACACAATTTTGTTAATTGTATATAAAAATAAAAAGTATTCAAGACAAATGAAAAAATTATAGAATACAAATGGAAAATTATAGAATACAAATGAAAAATTATAGAATACAAATGAAAAATTATTGAACAAATAAAAATTATAGAATGCAAATCAAAAAAAAAAAAAAAATAAATAAATAAAAAATAAAAAAAAAAATACAATGCAAATGGAATATTACGCAATACAAATGGAAAAGATCGAATATTGCAACGTTTGACATGCAGTAAGTTTCAAAATTAAATATTTTGAATGTTAAAAATACCAAAATGGCTTTTGTACGTGCCTATGGAATTGATTAACTTAACTGAAGTTTAGAAATAAATGACTAAATCTCATACAATCCAAAGTGAGTCGATACAGTACCGTCTGTGTACTAGCGTCACTTTTCAGGACTGCATCGTAAACCTCCGAGACCACCTTCCTTCTTCGGAAGTTCTCGGCTCTTCTCTGTCTTGCGGTCTGTGCAGCTTGATTAAGAGTGTCCACCTCATCTTGGTCCAGAGAATCCATTCTACAAATAAAGGTACAAAATCGGTTTTATCGGGGATTGCTACATAGAATGCGGGAATGGAACAGCACTATACTTGTTTTCCTCATTAAGACATAGCATTAATATATAATCGCTAAGTAAAAGGCGATTAAAAGAAAATCCTTTTAACAGATGGACATAATTTACAACATTTTCAGAGCATCCCTTTCCCTATAAACTAAAACATGTTCGGAAATTTTAATTACTAAATCATGTGAAATTGGTTTTTGACATTTGCATTTAAATCAACACTCTTCGATAAAACGTCTTTACATGCCAGATTATAAAATTGCGAAAAGATGTATACTAGTATCACTGAGAAAAAAAATACAGTTTGAATACAATATATATTCATGTATATATCTGTGCCACCCCTTTATGATCAGAATTTCAAAAAATATGGTAGAATGACCGGGAGTTGTTAGGATACCTGATCATATGGTTTCAAACATCATTAAGATTTTCTATATGGCAGAAATGTACAATTTGTTTTTACAACTGTCAATGTTTATAACACATTATTGTTCGGATCTGTTAATATCCAGATCAAGAGAGGATATGGCAGTGAAAGGCGTATAATTGGCACATATTGGTTGATGTTTGGCAGTTGTTTCCTTTGAACTACACGATGTAAAGCAAAAACCCCTGAACCTCATCAACTGTTCCTTCAGGTATTATATAACTTCAGATTTAATCAGTGTTCAAACTCCTGAAAATGTATCGATATTCGTGAATTCGCGTGTTCTAGTGAGCAGATTTTTATGTGATTAGGTTGATCAATTTGGCTGTTACAGGCATTGTAATAGGGAGCAATATTATTATTGATTATATTGTCAAAGACTGGTAAAACACATTCCATGTGCACACTGCTCGCGATGGTAAACAGCCGAGGCTGGTGAATTCTTGTGGCATCTGCTGAACAGAGATGAGAAAAAGCAAAAAAATCCATTACTCAAAAGTGTCGAAAGAACATCGCCCTGATTTTTACATTACACATGCATTCTGCCTCCTTTTATATTTTACGCTCTGCAAAATACAATGACAAGTCTACGCAGGAAAAAATAATTTCCGTTACAAATCTTAATATACAGAATCTTTGCTGCAGAATTATAAATGTCCATTAGCAGCGATACTAGTTGATACTAATGAAAGTTATAATTACCTTATGTGTGACAAATGTTACATCTCCTTAGTATAGAGAACATCTAAAGCATAATCATGGAATTAAAGACCCAGCAGCGCGTGAATGCATCTCCTTGGTGAATCTTTGCGACAAAATGCGGCGACTGCGCGCGCCGTTCTCCAAAAACGACTGCTCACCTCGAGCAGCATACAAATTGATTCACATCTGAATGATTACGCTATATCATTGATTTTTTAGGCCTCATTTTGTAATATATTCTGATTTTTGCCAAGTTTATTAATTAATATTGATGTACACAGAGATGTAATATGAACTGTTTATTTTGAGATGAAATCTCACTTTTATTATCAAGAATCCTTTTGCACATCTGCGTATAGGGACCTTGAGTACAATATGGTTTGAAGCTGTGTCTTATTCTGCTAGGAAATTATCACTCAAAATAAAAAGAATTAAAGAAACTATTAATTACGTGCATTTTCTGAATTATAAACTTAATAGTACACCTTATCTTCCGAGCAAAACTCGTTTTAAATATTTGTATTTAAATGCTGATAATGATTACGAGTTCCATTTCTGTAATATTTTAACGAAACGTTGGCCTAACAACAAGGTCATTGGCGAAAATGTAACTTGTGCATAGTATATTTCACGTATGCTTTTTTGGAGACACATAGAAAAAAAAAACTATGTAGCAAATTCTTTTCAACTGTAGTCACAGTGAAAAAAGAAAATATATGACACAACAGACATTTTCTTCATATGTTGAATAGGATAGCCAAGGTTGAGTATGTGACGAAATCGGCTGTATGGGAATTCCATAATTAATGGTGTATTTTTTTTTAAAAATTTTTGTATTCACATCTACATCGCTACCTGTATAATCTCTGGAGAATAAATGGACAGAATCCATACTCAAAGACGCCCCACTGAGAAAACACTCCGATACACATGTATACTTATAACAAAGACGCCGTTTTTGACAGAATGTAAACTAATAAATCAAGGTATGTGTTCATATTTTAATATAAGTACAGTTTAACAGTTTACGTTCATGTATAAACAAACAGTTATGCATGATATTCTGAAGTATCCAATATTCATTTACATCAGCAAATTCGTACATTAGCTAATTCTCAGAGTGCACTGAACATAATGATTTTTTTCTTACATTCCTAATGGCAAAAGTAACAAAAGCATTTTTTTATTAATTACATATAAAAATTGTAGATCACAAAGAACAGGACACAGAGAACACACGTGTAAACAATCAACATAGCCATAACATGACTGAGGAATTGCGAAAAACAGTATTAACTTTTCCTGGAGATATTCTGTCTCCATTGCAAATGTCTCGATATAAATACTATCAATAATAAAGAACATAAAAGTGTCAGGTCATTTATATGACATTATACTTCATGAACAAAAACAACAGAAACAAAAACAAAGCAATACAACTACATAGTCCAATAGATACTACTGGATTGCTAATTAAATATATAATGATTATGTACAATGAATTGTGATCGAATTGCCCGGGTCTCGGTACATGTCACATTCTTTTCCTTCAAAGAACATGTATATTGGTCTCTCTTTCTCTGATTTCCAGGATACTAAAACTTCACATATTTATTTCTTAATTCCTTCGACATGCAAGTAAAGTATCCCCATCACACTCGCAGATACTGATTACAACGGTTCATTCTTCACTTACTTTCTCTGTGAGTCTGACGAGCAATAAAGATGAATTGGTGTTGAATTTATCACAGTCTTCATCTTGAAGCTTTGACATAACTTTAGGTTATTTCACTCTATTCTCGAAAAACCCTTCTCCCATCGTGATTGAAAGTTTTCACAGCGGTTGAAATCACAACCCCTGCACCGTCTTCCTGTCTCAGTCATGTAGAATGTAAGTCTTCTGCAATTAACCGGAACCGGAGCACAACTAATGCTCGGGCACTGCGTGATTACTCGACTCCTGTTCCGGACACCTGTTATGGTGTTCCGGGTACCTGCAGATGAGGAGGTCGAGCCCAATCGTCTTGCTGCAATCATTCGCAGAAGCTGGCGGCGTATTTCATTTGCGTTACTTGTTCCTTGCAAACTTAACCTTTGTCTTTGCCGCTGTCTTAGAAGGCTTGCCATTGTTGAACCAGTTCCAGTGGTGGGGCGTGAAGATTGACGCAAAACAAAACGACTCCTTGGTCGCTGTGTTCGACCTAGCTGACCTGGAAGTATTAATGGATGTATCAATTAATCATATTTTCTAGTTGAAATAGTGTTGGCTTTATAAAACAGGTTTTTGGTGGGCATTAATAAAATCATAGAACGTCAAGAAAAACTTTCTTCAACCTTGTAAGGAAAACAATACATGTGTGTGCTTTTGAAGCATTTCATATTTAATTCTGGGTTGCTTTCAAATGAAAGAAATGATGTGCATGTTTTAGAAGTCATTGACACAAGAAATTGGCATTAAGGTGCGAAAGAAATAATATGTTCGATTAAAGACCATTTGTAATCAAAATGTGGGCAGTGTTTTCGTCCACTACAAAGCGATATATCTTCATAACAAACACTGCTTTTGATTGTCGGTACATATTGCTCTTACGAGGCTTACACAATAATTAACGTCTAAGGAATTTTGTAGTTATTAGATTTATTTTTGTTTTGTTTATTCCAAATATGATAAATTATCTGTCTGTGTAATAGATTACTTATCTTTATTTAAACATTTTGCGAGAAAAATACATGTAAATATATTTAGAGTGGCACAGACGCATGAATTACCAAGACCTAAAAATTAATGGTCGGTTCGTGTTGGATTAGAAACGATTTGTCGGCCCGTATTAGAGTCGTGTAGTGATTCAGCATGCTTCACCTTTTTTCTTCTGTGTAAAGTCATCGAGATCTTGTCTCTAAATTATACGATTTGTATAACATGTATGTTAGTATATAACCACGAAACAATAATATTGTCATAATTAGATGACCAGTGCGCTGTGTCATTACACTTTATGTCATGTCCATAATCAGCATATGCTTGCTTATGAATGCTTTCTAAGATTTATTATCTTAAGGTACGGAAAACTTTCTTACGCTGAACATACATGTAGACTGACATGTTATGTAATTATTGGTTTGCTAATCGATAATTATACTAAAAACGTCTAATTTGTGTGCTATGGATATGCTTCAATACGAGACATGTAATGATTATATAAAATCCATTCCCCATGTTTCTTGGGTGAAAGCATCGAGAAAAAAAAAAACAAGAAGAAAAAGAACATGAATTAATTTACAAACATTCAAAGGTATATTACAGAGATGTCCGCTTAGTAGTATATTGTTCATTTAATTGTATTGTAATCACCTTAATTGCGTATATATTTCTTTTTGAGTATATTTCTTCTCAAAAAAGTATATATCGTATCTATATGTATATGGGTTAATATACTCATCTACTACTCTCTACTAAGAATAGATTGTGAGAAAAACATTTACAGGCGTAACCTGTTTCCAATCTTCTCCGACAAAAACAACGTTCGTGATCAACAACAAAACAATCTTATGATACTCCTTATCATTATACACGTATAAAACATATCTTATGTTTACTTAGAATGGAAATGACAAAAACAAATAAATTTATTGTTGATATTATTAATTTTTTTTTATCTTATCAATATGCCTGTAGGTTAGCATTAAACTGTATGAAGTAAGCAATTTTTACAATTTTTAAACGAAATCTGTTAAAGAAAATTGGTGTGGAACCTGAAAAACCATAGAAATTTACTGGACTATGTTTTATCATGTTTTATGCATTGTATATATATTTGTTTTTATTTAAATAAAGTGTTAAAGATCAGAGATTTTTTTGACAACTTATTCAAAACGTTATGTTTTACGTGTTTTACATAAGATTTGGTTATTCTGAGGAAATTCACGATAATTAATTCTCCAGAAAAGCAAACTACAAAAGTCCCGACAAGAGTAATAGGCTATGGGAGCCAATTCATATATATTTCATTACTTCTTTGAATAGATTTTTAAAGAATAAAATATATTTCTTTTATATCCTTCGATCGCTATCTTTAACATGCCCCCCCCCCCCCTTCATCAATTACCAGGTATATATTAAATTATATATCAAAGAAACTGTAAATGGAAGAATGAAATGAAGATATGTCCACAATTAATACCGCTCTGTTCTGTAGGTTTATTTGCTAATCATTTTATCAATTTTGAGTAAAAACATGTATTTACATACCTTCAATATTGCCGATGGTGCAGAAAATAATTAACACAGACACAACAAAGTGGAGAAAATGTCCGATTTTCATAATGTTTGATCCGCCAAAAATTTTTTAAAGATCTTGCATAAACCAATGGAACTGTCCTTATGAAATAAGACATAAAACATACATGGTTAATATACTTATAGTAATATCACTGGAGCGTGGCGGGTTCTCAGGTATAAAAGGTGAACATGGAACACATATTTGTGGTTAATTACCATTCTTTGACAAGAAATATATTAATTAAAAAGGAAAAAAAATGTTCATGCCCTTAACATGTAAGTACTTGATATCACATTGAAATCAATTTAGTTGAAGTTTGGTATAAAAGTCTTAAATACTTAAATTATATTAGATTATGTAGAGCTCGTCCCATTTAACTTACTTTGATTTGCACATTATAGCTTTAAGACCTACTCTTTACATTTAAAATTATTAGTAATATTAATGCATGTATTTAGCTCTCCTGAGCCGAAGGCTCAAGTAAGCTTTTCTGATCAAAATTTGTCGGTTGTCTGTCGTTAGCACAGAGTATCATTGGGTAAAGGGGATTCAAGTTTGTTCAAATGAAGGGACACACCCTCTTCCAAGGGGAGATAACAAAGAAATAGTGAAAAGTGGGTGAGGGTATTTGAAATTCTTCTCAAGAACAACTGGGCTAGAAAAGATGAATCTTATGCGAAAATTTTCTGACATAATGTAGATTCAAGTTTGTTCAAATCATGACCCTTGGGTAGGGTGGGGCCACAATGGGGGATCAAAGTTTTACATAGCAATATATATGAAAATTTAATTCTCCTCAGAACATTAAAGCCATGATTGATGTTATTTATATGGAAGCATCCTTAAGTAGTGTAGATTCAAATTTGTTAAATTCATG